GGAGCAGGATTTGAAAAGTAATGTGAAAATGAAGGAATAATACGTAGTTATGAGCGTGGATGTATGTATGCTGAAGAGTGGTAGTTTATAAAATTTAATATGAAAATACCATCAAACACGAGGAAGATGAAGGAAGTAAAAAGTAAATGCGATCCACTAAAGCCTGTAGCCGGATGAAAACAGGATGCGGCATAAATTGAGAAGCAAGAAGTTCCAAGTAAGTGGTAGTTACTGGCCAGCCTGTTTTCTCAAGAGAACATAAATATTTTGCTTGATCCAATCTTTTGTGTGCGGCACATAAGTCAATGTGGCTTCATGGAAGACGAGACAACTGAGATCAGCCAGTTGGTCAATGAATTCGAAAAGCTGAGAAATATCATAAGTGATGGTGGGAGCATTGGGGTTTTCGCGCTTCAATTGCTCTTCATAGATCTTGCAGACACCCTCGAGACATTCGTTGAGCGTCTCGTAGTCGGACCATGTGCGAGTATCCGGCTTCTTAGCTGATGGCTGGACCAGAAGGATTGTGTGCGGCATTACTGAGAACAGGGAGACAAATCGACCTGGAAGGATGGCACAAATAAATTATTTGTTAAGCTATGATACAAATGTAACTGATTAGATAACTGGATGTTGTTAAAAACCGAATCTAAGGTATTTCGCCAGGTAGAAAAACAGTTCGGTCCACAAATCGGAACCTTGTTGAAATGAAATGATTATCCTAAAGAAGAAACTATGGATCCTAAGTTATGTAGAAGTCTCTTCTTTTTGGATAATACAAAAGATGGGCCAAGAGGAAATAGTAAAACAGCTGCTTTGCATTATTGAGATAGAAACACAATAGGAATCTTGTGGTCATGCTACTAACTTCGGATTGAATTCGAATCGCAAGCCGAGTTGTGAAATTATCAGCTAAATGATGTGGACTATTTGAGAACGAAATACAAGTAATTTTATGATATATATTTGCCCTATTTCGTTTAAGGCGATGAAGGACTTGTAGTAGAATTTTCCCACAATGGTGTGAATAAAGCTAGTGTTCCCATTTAATTTCACATGGCCTTGCTTTCCCAAAAGTTATTCCAATCCAGGGTGGACTGCAGTTTCGACTTCGCATCGGTCTTATCAACACCTCTAGTGGGATTCGAACCATGACAATGCAGCATGTGATCTTGACACGTGAACCACTCGGCCACATTGCCACG